AAAAAAAAGCTTGAACTGGTTTTAAACTTACCTCGTTATCGCTGCTCGCTCCCGCACCGAGAATCAGGAAGTGATCGTACGGCCGCAAAGGATCTTGGGGCGGGCGCATGCGCAATTCCGATTCTCGGCCGGGAGACGAGCAGAGGCGCAAGGTAAGTCTATGGAAGCGTGCCCCCGCCTGCAGACACCGCTGGATCGGAGAGACAGGGCAGTCAGCGCTGGATCGGAGAGCTGGAGGGACACATGAAAACATGGGGAAAGAAGAGAAAGATCAGAATAAGAGTTATCATTTGAGGTAAGTGCTAACATTTACATGGGGGGGAGGGGAAAACATTTTTGGCTTTAATGTCACTTTAAAACTCCAAGTATATTATATTTTCCTGACACCCACATGGCAGCATACAAATGGGTATGGCTCCGCCCCCAGCCCAATCACAGGACCAGTTATACTATAAATTAAAGCACACCTCCCAAGACAGCCATTCTTTTTTCTGTCCTCACTGCTCTAGCCGGTTATACTAAGAATACTTTGATTTTTGCCCTCACCGTGCTGGTTTCTTCTGGCCTGCCGCACAGGTTCAGCCTCTCCCGTTGCGCAGTTCCCTTTGTTCAGGTGGCTAAATGCAATCTTATAAGAGAAGCCTCCCCCATAGCCTTGGAGTTGGGGGTGCAGGAAATGGTCTCTTTATATTCGGATGCTTCCTCCATCATGGCTTAACACTTGCTTAGCCTCTTGGTCTTGTGACTCCAGAGAAGAACCGTGACTCAGCTGCATCATCAGAAACTATGGTTGTACTGTCTGTGAAGGTTCTCATTCATCCAGGTCATGGTATATCTGTAAAAAATAAGTCAAGGCAATTGGACTTGCTGTATTTTTCTTGAAGACGTTTCACTGGCCATCCAACCAGCTTGCTCAAATCAGAATGACTTGTACAACATTTCTCTGGGAATAAATATTGACTGGGTTAGAATGTGTGACCGGTGACGTGGTCACACGTTTTAACGTAATCCCGCATAGTTTTTCGGCGGTGGAATGTGTGACCGCCAATAGGTGAAGCATTCCGGCGCTTTCCCAGCTGTTCCAGGGCAGGTCGGCGTCGCAAATCGCATGTGCAGGAGAACCGATCTGCCCTAAAACAGCTGATCGGTCCTGAAATGTCACTTGTCTCCGACTGCGATCTCACATTCCGCCACACTAACTAAGTCGGCTAGAAGTGACATTTCAGGACCGATCAGCTGTTTTAGGGCAGATCGGTTCTCCTGCACATGCGATTTGCGATGCCGATCTGCCCTGGAACAGCGGAGAAAGCATTGGAATTATTCACCTATTCCACCGCCGAAAAACTGGGCGAGATTCTAACGTAGTCTCAAACTTTGATAGATCACATGCCTACTTGTAATCATTTAATCAGAGAAATAGATTATCGGCTTTCGCATTGAGTACTTATTAAGAGAATGGCTGCCCTGGGAGGTGTGCTTTAATTTATAGCATACCTGGTCCTGTGATTGGGATAGGGCGGAGCCATATCCATTTGTATGCTGCCATGTATTGGTGTCAGGAAAGGAAAATTACCGATAGGTAAGTATACAATTTTCCGTTTTCTGAAAGCAGAGGCCCCGTAGAATAAAATGATGGTATATAAAAAGATGGCAAAAAAATGTATGTCACAGCGCAACTGTTTGTCAAATCTATATCTTCAGAAACAAATACACTAAAATGAATTTTGAGAGTGTATGGGACACCAAGTACCAATAGAGTAGAAGGCTTCATTGAAAGCAGAGTTCATGGAGCTGCGGGTGGTGGTGTCCCAGATTTGTGGCCATTGTTTGCAGTTCTAGAGAGGTGCCCACATTCCTTTCCAAGTGAGAAACGTATACCATGGAGTGTTGCTAATCTAGCGCCAATAAGGATTTATAGATTAAGGAAACAATTCCTCTTGGTGGTGGAGGAAAGTATGTTCAAAAGGGGGGAAGGTGGAGCAAACCCACATATTGCAAGGAAGGGAAGTTAAAGACTACCTCCATAGGTATAAAATTGTACACTCTGCAAAGAGCCTTTGTTAATACACCAAATAAACCTTTGTGTCTCCTCGAACCCAGGGAGAAAAGAAGGATTGTGAGTCACGGTCAATAGGGGCATGTGTGGGAGAAAGCAGCTTACCCAAGTTTTGAAAAAGGTCCTAAGTCATAAGAGAGTGTTTGGGTATGGCTGTGTTTGCACAATTGTAGGCCTGTCCATAGGACTGTGTCTATCCCTAGTGGTGCTGCTTGGTAAACTTCAATACTAACTAGTGGGGTGTTTGTGATAGCGTGATGGCAATCCAGAAGGGCCATTTGAGTGGTCCGGTAATAGTTGATGACAGCCAGTCCTTCTTTGATTAGGGTTGGAATAATAGCACTTTGGGAACATCCAACTTCTTTTGCAATTACCTTTTGAGGCTTTCCCTCCTTATGGAGGGTGTCAATGATGGTTTTCTGCACAACTTTCCCATGATTGTGATTCCTACTGAACCAGACTGAGAGACCATTTAAAGGCTCAGGAACCCTTTGCAGGTCACAATATTGTAATTTTCTGAGATTGTGGATTTGGGGTTTTCATGAGCTGTAAGCCATAATCATCACAATTATGACAAATCACGGCTTGAACTATCTTGCTTTGCATGTAATGAGTCTATCTCATATATTAGTTTCACCTTTTCAGTTGCATTAGTGAAATAAATGAACTTTTGCACAATATTCTAATTAATCGAGTTTCACCTGTACATGCAATGTCATGTTTCCCTCGGGTTCATTCTGTAAGTTTCCAAGCTTGGAGATGGGTGAGTGACGTCCTCTCTTCATCTGCAGCTCTCGTCCACGTTTGCTTGTCATGAACAGGTAGCTTTTGCAATCTTTACCAAGATGCTGGCTAATGCTATGGTGCTGCATGAACCATATATGAAAAGTGTCTAGGTGGGATGCCCTTTTAGAATTTCTGACTGAGGTTGCAGGTGGTTCAGCTTTTCTTTTCAAAGAATAAATTGCAAACACCAATTTCAAACCCAGTGATGTTCTGTTCCTCGTCCTGCAGTAGTGGCGGGGATTATTGCTCAAGTTGCTGTTCAGCGGGTGCTGACTGTGTCACTTCATGAGGAATTGACACATAGGTGTTTAATTTATAATTACAGTTCTGCTGACTGTTACTTATTGGTATTGGTACAATTTTGTAACCCAGTGTAGCCTACAAACATACCTTCCTTAGCACAAGATTCACAATTTAAATAATTCTCATTGGAAATGTGTAGGCATGCTCATTATCTTCTCTTTCTTTGTTAACACTTTTGGCCCTTTGTTGTTTAATGTTTCTCGAGCTCTCCAAATTCTGCAAAATGTTGCACACAAAACATTCTCGGGCTTCACGCTGCTTATTGCTATTAGACACCTTGATTCTGGTTTCTGAGATTGAAAACTTTAATGAAGCCTTGTTGGTTGTTGTTACTCTGAATTGTATCGGAACCTTCAGTATTGACTAGACTGGTGCGCCATCAAAAAATTTGTTCCGTTTCAGAATATCCGTTATTTCGTAATTCGTGTCCGAAACTCAATTCGGATTCGTTCGAAATACGAATTTTCGTTAGTTTCGGCACATTTTCGTAACTGTACGAACATTCGTTATGATGAAGTTAAAAAGCAAAAATACCTTTGTTAATATTGGAGTCGATGTGGTAGTTGTTTTTTTATCCGAAATACGAATTCCGTTAACGGATTCCGGATCCGAATTTCGTATTTCGGATACATTTTCGTATTTCGAATGTTCGTAACGGAACGAAATTCCGTCAATGGAATTTCGTATTTCCTGCCTGTATTGTAATGCAACTCTCAGCAGCAGAAGAGAAAACCTCTGATTGGTCAAGCAAACGAAATACGAATTCCGTTAACGGATTCCGGATCTGAATTTCGTATAAAAAAAAAACTACCATCAACTCCAGTATATTAACAAATGTACTTTGCTTTTTAACTTCAATATAACGAATGTTCGTAACGGAACAAAATTCCGTCATCGGAATTTCGGATTTCCTGGCTGTGTATTGTAATGCAACCCTCAGCAGCAGCGGATCCGTATTTCGGATTAAAAAAAAATCTTGTCATGTTGTTCAACCTCATTTACAGGGGTAATATTAGTTCCCGTTTCAAATAAATTCGGATCCGAAATTCGTTAACGGAATTTCGTATTTCAGATATACTTTGGAAACTGCAATTCGGATTTCGGATGCTTCCGAATTTACGAATTTCAGGAAAATTCGTACGAATTTCGATTCGTAACTAAACGAATCGCACATGTCTAGTATTGACCACTTTGGCTGTAGCTGGGCCTATAACCTGTTGGAAAGCTGCTGTAAAATATGACTTTTACCAGCCAAAATCATGATGCTGGACGCATGGCTGAGCCCTTCTTGTTTTATTGGAAACAGGAACAATAGAGACAGGAAATGACATCATAATAACCATGTAGTCCTATTATGAAGAACATTATATTTGACAAGCATTAACCTCTTGCCGTCCACCCGTTAAGAAAAAACAGACGGACGGCAGACTCGCATCCGGCAGTAGTACAGCGCTGCATGACGGAATAAATGTCAGTACTGAAAAATAGCCTGGATGGGAAGGGGGTTTAACACCGCGGATGTCAACTGGTTAAACTTACACTACCACCTAGTGGCAGAATTATTAATCAGCTCTCCACTCTCTCCTTCTATCATGTTAGTTTTCAGAACATTTGCATACACAACACATGATTAGCTCCCAGTCCTCTCTCTCCCCCTCTCAGTCTGAAATCTGCAATGGTTACCTCTAAGGCCTGGTCCACACCTGGGCGTTTTACAGCACGTTCCTACACGCTGTAAAACGCTCAACATGTGAAAACCAATGATCGCCTATGGGCATGGTTCCCACCTGAGTGTTTTACAGCGCATAGGAACGCGCTGCCAACCGCCCTACGCCCAAAGAAGTACAGGAGCTTCTTTGGGGTGTATTTGCCGCGCGTATTCATTGTGATACAGCCAGGTAGCCCTCGGAAACGCGCGTTTGTCGCACGTTTTATTTTACCGCGAATCGCTGTAAAAACGCGCGGCATGAAACGCGCGGCAAACGCGGATATTCAATACGCCTAGGTGTGAACCCAGCCTAAAGCACCATCATTGTTTCTATTATCAGCTTGTATCTATTTGCATATTTTTGTGACCTCTGCACCATTGCATGTTCTGCAGGTCTTTTGCTGGTGCAGCTTCTCGTTCTCCATCCACCCCCCCCTTTGAGGTTTGCTGTACAATGCAAGAGGCTGATACCAGATCAAATTCAAGTATTTCCTCTGCTTGTATTAACAATAATACATTAAATGTATATTCATAAACACAGAGCTGCATTAATTTGTGCCTTTTGTATCTGCCCGGGGTTCAGCTTTAGGTGACTCTTGAGAATTACACCTCCTGAAATGTATCTAGAGCTAATTTAGTAGAGATTGGTTAGAATCTTTGCCAGTTTTTCAGGTTTTTTGGCTGTCTGTGTCAGCTTGGGAATGTTTTTCCTTTACTTCTTGTGTTGGAAATACAACAGGAAGTAGAGAAAATCTCTCCAAAGTGAAGGGAAATCCCCTCTCAATAAGTTGGCACCTGATCAAATGTCCCCTTTGGGTGATTTTTGACAAATAAAAGAGGTGATGCTCCCCAGTGGGGGCAAAGGCAGCTGATTCTAACCTCTCGTTACAAAAAAATTACTTTTAGATATATTTAATGGTTTCTTACATTTCCTGAAAAATTTGGTAGGGAGATCCCTTAGCCTGAGTTCCTTGCTGTGCACAACTGCCACTAGCTTCAAAAGGTCTCCCACTGCCACTTTATGTGATGTACAAGAAGTGGGGAAATACCCAAATGCTGAGGTAAGCCAGAGAAGATATCTGGTTTTACCTGAATAATACTTCTGGTGGACTAGTTCTAGGTGCCCGTAGTCTTTCCATGAAGGTCAGAACATATCAATGATTGACTATTGGCTTTGCTGTGTTGGTTATTATCAAACTTGATACATGGAAACGCTGCTTGCTGCAAAAGATAAAGGTCAGCAAATTGTATTGATAGATATTAAGCCGACACCTACTGTATGTGTAACTTTATTTTTAAAGAAGAACTTTGTAGTTAAATAATTAGTGCTGCAGCACTTCATTATAAGTACATACAGTTTTCTCTTAGTTCCCCTATAACATCCACAAGTACCTGTTGCTCCTGCCAGTGATATCCACCTAATACAGCTTCCTGTGATGAGGTGGCAACACTGTGCAGCTAATGCAGCTTCCTGTGATGGGGTGGCAACACTGTGCAGCTAATGCAGCTTCCTGTGATGGGGTGGCAACACTGTGCAGCTAATGCAGCTTCCTGTGATGGGGTGGCAACACTGTGCAGCTAATGCAGCTTCCTGTGATGGGGTGGATGCAGTGCTCCTGAATTTAGAGCAGAGGAGACACTTTCAAGTAGACTGTGCCTGCTTGCACTACAGTGGCATAAGAAGATGTTTCAGGGGACGTGACTATCAGCATTGTCAATGCTGATTCACGTATCTGTAGTCAATCAGCACCTAGCCACACCTAACCCCGCCCACTGGTTTCTTGACTGACTGCACTGGCTCTGTTGATGAAACCCTCCCACTGGGAGCTGCAGTGTCTGGGAGGGGGGGAGTGTGAGATATACAAATGAAGGAGGCTTTGGCTCAGTTAGGAAAGGTAAAGGACATTTTTGGTTTATTTTATGAAGCTTGTGTATCACATGGTTTACAGGATTTTGGAGCTAGTTTAGAATGTCATACGGGAGCTTTTTGTGGCACATTACCAACATTGGTGCAGTGTTACCAGTGACCACTAGAGTGGGGAATTGCTCCAATTGCCGCGAATAGTAACATTCTTAAACACATTGCACACTACATGTAGATTCTACATTCCTTCCCTGAGTCTCTGCTAATTCCCCCACAAGGGCTTTTCACTTCTCAAAATGATTTCTGCAACACATTTGTGGGAAAATGCACTTTGTCATCTATGTCAGGTAGTTTGGTTGTGTCCCGGTGGTTAGCTTAATCCAGCTGACAGTACAGAGCTCTGTGGAATATGGTTCCTATAATCAGCTTCTTCTTGTACACCGAGGCCACGGAAGTCCCCTGAATCACAGAGCCGTTATTGACGTAAACGTGGGTCACTTTAGGGTGATCTGAGTGAATGTTCTGTACGCGGATAACCTGTAAAATCAATATTGTTATTTCTCCATTGTGCTCCTCAATCATAGATACAGCATAACCTCAATTATGACCTCAATTATGCAGTAGTCTAAAGAAAGAATAAATATAAAACCAGTCAGATAGAGAGAGAGAGAGAAGAGAGAAGAGAGAAGAGAGAAGAGAGAAGAGAGAGAGATTTAAAAAAGGATATCTGTGGTCTGTGGCACAAAGTTTACATTGATGTTCTCCTACTGTATAGTGTTTTAAAGTCCAACTCCAGGCTAAACTTGTTTGTAAAAGGTCCCCCTGATGTTAAAAAAAAAACAGCTTAGGTTGCAATACTTACCTTTAATCTAGAAATTTTCCCCACAGTACCTTTGCCACAAGATGTCCTCAGACTTGTGGGTTGGGTGACCCCCAGTGTCACTCAACCCAGGGAACTAAGGACTAATGTGACTGCAGGATGTCATAGCCCCACCCCTGAGGAGGCATCACCATGGCCCCCTTTATTCACATTGTACTGGAGAGAATCACCCTCTAGTGTGAAAATACTGGTATAGCCATTAGATGGAGCTGAGAAGAATAGGAGCTTCTGTGGCACACAAACCACCGTAACTCTTCTTACGGTAGATTTTTATTGTCTGTGGACTGTTGGGAGGGCAATAATAGATAGGAGTAACAAAAACCCAAATAATTAGCTGGGGAAAATTAAACAAATCGACTGTGACAAAAGTATCACCAAAGACATGTTAAGGGAACAGCTCATCCAACCTGAAATGACAGAATAATAGTACTAACAACCAGGGAAATTACCTGTACTAATAACCAAAGCAGAGTGTTGAGAAGCATGGATAACATCTAAATGAATTGCAAAAAGCTGCGCTAAGAGTATAACAGTGGTCTGGACAATAGACTAGCTGCAACAATCTGTGATTAAGTAATCACAATGTCCAAAAAACTGTTCAGTCTATGTTCATACTGAGCAACGATTATATTCCAACAGCGATCTCTTATTTTCCTAGTGATCTGCCGCCTCTTCAGTCCCACATGGATGGGCTAGCCGTGCACAACTTTCCCCTTCCCCCAAAAAGGATATAGAGAAAAAGGGGAGAGGTTGTCAGCTGTGGGAGGCAAAGACAGGTCTCTCCCTTGATGCGTTTCGTCGATTTGACTTTATCAAAAAGGTTCTCAGCTGTAGGAGGCTGTAGGAGGCAAAGACAGGTCTCTCCCTTAACCCTTTAATCAATTTGACTTTATCAAAACATTAAATCGACGAAACGCGTGACGGGAGAAACCTGTCTTTGCCTCCTACAGCTGAGAACCTTTTCGTTACATGTGATTTTATATCTACGATCTCGCAAGTGTTTTCTTTGTGTGTCGTGGAAAAATAAACATTTTTTACTGCACTTAGGCGCTCTCCCCTTTTTCTCTACATCCTTTTCCTTTGAGACATCATAGGGGAAACCGCCTATGACACGGCGTGGTGTAATCTGACTGAATAGGAAGGGGGAAGTTGCGCACGGCTAGCCCATCCAATGGGGACTGAAGAGGCGGCCGATCACTAGGAAAATAAGAGATTGCTGTTGGAATATAATCGTTGCTCAGTATGAACATAGACTGAACAGTTTTTTGGACATTGTGATACCTTCTAAGAAAGGAAAGTAAATCCATTTTTTTTCTCTTCCCAAAACCACATCTGTTGCGTTTTTTGGACTTATATATTGTAGCAGTAGAGATACTGCTATTGTGTCACCTCAGCATAACCACTTTCCTATGCAATTGATAATTGTTACGTCACTTATATGTTTAACACTAATTTAAGATTTGTAGCTTTATGCAGTAATTAGAGTGGAAGCACGGATTGGTACAAGTTGTATCCATACACGTACACTAATAGAAGTTTTTGCGGTTAAGATACAGATTGCAAGATTTATATATATTTTTACATGTTTACAGTTTCATATTTTTAGGTATTGGTGCACAGAGAAATTATCCACTTGATTTTACTTATGTTCCCCTGATGAGGTGAATTTCACTAATTAATTTTGAGTGTTTATTTGTTCACATCCAGACTGAGCGCAACAAATTAGCATCACTATGGATAACATCTACTCTTTCTGTAGATGCGCTAAAATCATGTATGCACCAACATATGCTCTATGAGAAGTTGAAAGCCGTTCAACCAGACAGAATGCCTAAGTTCCATAACATTTGGGATCCATCCCTTAACCGTTTGTTTGGGAATTTTTTACATCCTGTTTAAAATTTCCAATTTATTGCAATTATTTATAATATTGAATGCTGCATTGAAGAGGAATGCCAGGAATTAATAAAGTTTTAACCTTTAGAATGGGGCTACCCTCACACTACAAGGGTTAACTACTCCTTTTGTTCTAGGGGCTGGATTGAAAAATATACATTTATCCGATCCTCGGTCCCCACCACGCTGCTAGACCACGGGCTCAGAGAAAGTAGGTTGAATGATGCTGGGCATCATTCAGCCTGGTAGAGGAGTGGCCTCTAGGCAAGGAATAGTAGCCTCTCTGTGGTGCACAATTGTGCAGCATTCAAGACACTACTAGCACTGAAGACAGAAGGGCACCATTGATGTCACGTGCCCAGACTGAAGACCTATTGAGAAAAGGTATGTATATATATTTTTTTCTTACAAGGAGAACAGGGGGTGCACCAAGAGAAGTTAGGGGGAGGTGTGTTGAACCCAGGGGCGTCCCGCGGCGTGGTGTCACCAAAAGCGGACACCGAGTGACACTAGGGTTGCCACCTTTTCTTCAAGCGAAACCCGAACACTCTAGCGATGCGTAGACATTTTTTTGGAGTCGCGGCTTATTCATATGTAAATATCACAGTCGAGACAGTACAGTGGGGGACCAGTAGCCCCAATATTAATTTTCATTGCCCCTGTCTGCCTGACATCTTGTGTGCGGGTTTCTGCTGCCATGAAACCCGGACACAGCATTTAAAACCCGAACTGTCCGGGTGAATCCTGGACAGGTGGCAACCCTAAGTGACACCCCGCGGGGATGTCATCACGCACCAGTGTAATGACGTCACGCAATGTTACATGCCGGTGGCCTTCTTGTTGATGGTCACTGGCAGAGAGAGGAAGAGACCTTCACCCCGCGGGATAAGGTATGCTCCTCTCTCATGCAACTGTCGGGCTCTGAGTGCCCGACTTTTCAGAGAGGGTGACACCTTGAACCTGGATTTGGACTTTAAGATTTAATATTTTAATACATGGGGTATGAAGAGGGATTAAACCCTTAAATATAACATAACCTATATACTGACCTCTGACCCAGGGGGATCTTCATCTCTGTAAAAGAACAGTTTCCATAAATTTGGATGTGCGCCTGTCCAGATGTCCCCTGTAACTGGATCCACTGAGAGGTTATCCACACAAGTACCTAAGTCAACTGCCTAGTGTTAATAATAAAAAAAAGAAAAAAAAAAGAAGAAAACAGTAGTGTATTTTATATGCATGAATATTTCTACATACGAGGGTGATAGAGGGACAAAGAGAGAGAGGAGATAAAGAGAAAAGAGAAGAGAGAGAAAGGAAAGAGTGAGGGAGAGAGAGAGAGAGAGAGACAGAGAGATGTCATAGACTGTGCGATTAGTTAAAATGAATTAAGAGAGAAAGAGAAACGAAGGAATTAAGAAAAGAGAGTGAGAAAGAGGTACAGAGAAAGAGAGAACAGAAAGAGATTTAAAAAAAAAAGAGGGGAGAGATAGAAACTATTGGAAAGTGGAATAGGAGCAAAAACATGCTATCAAGAGCTTGTACACGTAGAACAGGTGCAATATAAAAGTAAATGTGAAAAAAACAACGTTCTTGTGGTAGGCCCACGGAAGTAGACAGAGCAACTTAAAGTGACATTAAACCCTCAGATTTTTTTACATAAAACAATACTGTAATGTGCACCTTACTGTAATCCATGGTAGTTTCCCTTCTCTTTGCTGCTCTGTCTTTTAAATCTGTATCTGTTCTCATGCTGGGCAGAACTTCTGTTTTGCAGCAGACTGCCTTGTCTCAGAAATGGATACACGGTGTCTGTGTATCCGTTTGCATAGGCTTGTAACCTAAGCCAGCACTACAGGAAGAGGCCCTGAGCTGCAAAGGGAAGTTCTGTCCAGCATGAGAAGACATGAGGATTTAAAAGGAAGAGCAGCAAAGAGAAGGGAAACAACCATGGATTACAGTAAGGCGCACATTACAGTATTGTTTTATGTAAAAAAATCTTAGGGTTTAATGTCACTTTAAGTCTAACATATTTAACATATATATCAATGACTTGGCTGCAACTCTAGAATCCTTCTCAGCACCAGGGCTAACCCCACATGGCACAGAGGTTAGGTTTCTGCTGTATGTTGATGTCCTCCTATTACTGTCACCAACAAAGAGAAGCCTACAAGACAACTTGAATGTGCTGGAAAAATACAGTGTGACATGAGCACAACCCGTCTACCCAAAGAAAACAAAAATCACGGTGTTCCAAAGGAAGAACAAAAACAAATTAAGAGCTTTTACTTTACATTACCAACTGCACTGTTGATGAATTTAACAGCACACATACACCAACCCAGAAATCACCCAATCAGGAAGTTTTAAGTCAGCCATAAAAGCCTCGAAAGACCACCTATAACCACTGGTAAGAAGAAAGAAAGAAAGAAAGAAAGAAAGAAAGAAAGAAAGAAAAAGAGTGTAAGAGAGAGAGCGGGCAAAAGGAAAAAGCAAGAGACAAAGAGGGGAAGAAAGACACACAGAAGGAAAGACCTTTACTGCCACTGTTACAACAACAACAAATGATAACAATAATAATACATGAACATAATAAAACAGATATCTAAAATGTGATCACCTTTACAGGAGTAAGGGACCAGTTTGCATGTTTCTCATAGACATTGATTGTGTGAGCAGTGACGTCAGCAGCATAGATAAACCTTAAAAGATAAACAAATACAGAGTGTAAACAAACAAAAAAAATATTTTACAAAGTAGTATTAAACTCTCAAACTTTTTTCATGACTGAATGTAGATTTGGGCAACCAAATCAATGGGGTCTATTCACTAAGCTGCCGAAGGATCTAGCCGTAGCTTCGGCTGATCCTTCGGCTAGCTTCGGCCCCAGGACCCCTTCGGTTCTATGGAACCAAAGGGCTGCTGCACGTGCTATTCACTATAGTCCGTACAGCTCCCGGAGTCGGCTGCGCAGCTCAGTCGAGCCGAAGGCTTCGGCTCGACTGAGCCAAGGTGAAAGCCGAAGCTGGCTGAACGGCCGGCCGAAAGCCTGCTACTGACTGCTGGGTGGAGCCAGCCGTCATCTCACGGCTGGCTCCGGCCACTTGCACAGACAGATCAGCGTCCCTGGTTACCAGGGACACTGATCTCCAGACAGCCCAACTCTCCCGGATGCTCCGGGATTCTCCGGCTATTAGATAACGGCTCCCCGCCGCCCGGGAGAGAAACACTTTCTCCTAGAAAGGTTTACTCTGCTCGATTAAGCAGAGTAAACCTTTCCCTGCTCTGTTTCTTTTTTATTCTTCTGACATCGGGGCCGTTGGCTGAATCTAGCATAACAAGATTCCTATTGGCTATTTCAATTTGCAATAGCCAATAGCAAACTAGCTATTGCACCCGCCCACTCCTGCTGTCAATCAGCAGAGGGGACCTGAAGTTCTCCATCAGGTCCCTTCTAGTGATTGACAGCAGCAGAGGGCGGGTGCAATAGCTAGTTTGCTATTGGCTATTGCAAATTGAAATAGCCAATAGGAATCTAGCTATGCATTCCTATGGTGATTTTTTTTTATTCTGACGGCAGCAGAACCGCCCGGCCAATAGAAAACAGTTGGGTGGAGCTAGCTGTCACTGCTAGCTCCGCCCAATCGTTTTCTATTTTATTTTTTACTACTTTAACTGTTTTCCTATTCTGCTTGGTACCACAGAGGTACCGAGCAGAACAGCCGAGCCGAATGCCGCTCGGCGGCGTTCGGCATCTATGAGAATAGGCCGAAAAGGAGCAAGTAGCCTGCCGGAGGTTCGGCTTAGACGATCCAGATGTTTTTTTTTTGACATTTTTTTTTCAAATTCTTTATTGAATGAAAAAGCGTCAAATATAAAAACAATGCAGGTGAACACAAAGTAAGTGTATAAAGTCTACAGACCTCGTAGTAAAACGGACTACACCGTATCACATTTACATAACTAGACTTATAGAGTCACATCTGGATAATCATAAAACAGCTCAGTACAGTAATTGGTTCATCAACCGTTTAATGCAGTAGTACCATTCTGTAGAATAAAGATGGACCTCCACATGACATCATAGTGAAACCAACGTACTATAAGACTAAACAGGCCATCATGTATGTGGCTTGGTCGGAACTGTATGTTCCAAGCGTCGGGGGACTCCACACCGCTGCAGCCCCTCTGCGCCCTGCCGCCCCGAGGCCGTGCCTCGGTGGCCTTGTGGGAAATCCGGGCCTGGTTACAACACACTTTTCCAACTGCTGCCAGCCCACACAGTTCCCAGCTGTAAACTCCGAGATCCCCGTATCTCACTCCACTCTGGGAACCTTTGCTTCGCAGACAGCGCACAAATGCTGGGAAGACATGTTCTGTCTCAAAGCCTATCATGTCAGTGGAAGACTGAGCCATTCCTGATCTTGATGCCCGCATATACCAACCTTTGTTGAACATATGAAATCCTATTTTGTGCTCCATTCAATTTCTTACTTTCAGCTGGTTATGTTTGAGGGTCTTTGATGGACCTTCCAGCCTCCCCAGATCTCCAAGTTAACTCAGGAGCACCCCTGGTTGTAAGGTCCCCTGGGAATCCATAATCATGTACTCATACTTATACATGCTGATAAGTCAATAAGAAGTAACATACTTTTTATCGTTCGATATGGCGATTCCGTTGCCACTGTAGAGTCCTGATGCCACTTCTTGGACATCCCCAGGACTGTAATACACCACATTTGCCCAACTTAATCCAAGGAAAGCCTCTACAAATTTTAAAGAAATGCTCTCAAAGTAATAATCATTAGTGGCGTAGAAGCTCTCTGGTCCCACAGCGACAATATCGTTCAGACTGTGAAAAAAAAAAAGATAGATGAGATATAGATGATCAACTTTGCTTACATAAATAGATAGTAGACTTTTCTTAGAGGCAATATTGAGGGTAAAGGACATGCATAGAGCAAGCACCATGTGATGTTTATTGTCACCTTTTTTAGCCAGAAACTCCTTCTTTGTGTACCTCTCATATCCTGGTTTGACTTGTCTGACTTTGGGGTTATTTCTTTCCCATTCCTGCCCTCATTGGGAGTGTCTTTACTAGCTACTGAGGCACCAGCTTGAGTTCTGCTGTACAGGGAACACTCTCGACACTACACTTCAGAACACTCTCGACCCCTACATGAGACAAATTTTTAACAACCTCTGCATTTTTCCCTCTGCAAATGCTTCATGTCATCATTGTAATGATCCCAAAGGCAGGGAAGGAGCTGGTGTGGTCCCAAAGCTTCAGACCCATGTCAATGTTAAACACAGAAATAAATGTATGTAAAAATAATCACCACTTGTCTTTTATAAATTACCCCTAACTACATCAGAAAATATTGACAAAAGGGAAGGCAAGTTCCTGATGACTCCTTAAAGAGAATCTGTAACCTGTACTATGCTGTAACCTGCACATAGTATCTGATCTGATAACAATATTAACTTAAAAAAACAAGTTAAAGTAAATAAAACATTAAATTTTTCTTAAAGCCTCTTATCCCCACCTACATGCACATATCATATGAACATAAATGTGTGTGTCGGGTGTGTCTACATATGAAAATGATGATTGTGCCACACAGACAGACAGTTGGCGACTTCTGCGCACTGTGCGCTTCAGCATGCGCTGACCCCGCTCTGTCATTTTACGTGACCTACCACTTCGTGGCTGAGTTGCTGTTGTTCCCAGTTGCTTCCACTTTGTTACAATACCACTAACAGGTGACCGTGGAATATTTAGTAGCAAGGACATTTCACGGATGGACTTCTTGCACAGGTGACAACCTATCACGGTACCACGCTTGAATTCACTGAGCTCCTGAGAGCGACGCATTCTTTCACAAATGTTGGTAGAAGCGTCTGCATGCCTAGGTGCGTGATTTAATACACCTGTGACCATGGAGGTGATTAGAACACCTGAATCCAATGATTTGGAGGGGGTGTCCCAATACTTTTGGCAATATAGTGTAAGTGTAAATATAAATATACTCAGTAGGCCCTCGTTTTGTCTTGCTCACATTTGGGATCATTGTCAGTACCTCTGCAATAATGGATGTTTTATGGTCTTCAGATGTAGTAGAGCCTTCTGCTTCTCATCAAATTTAAATATTTCAATAAAGCTTTTGAAGTCAGGCATGGGATGATTTACGACAAAAAGGTAGACCGTGCCATCTAAAAATAAGAAGTCGGATAAGTTTTGGTAAAAGCAACTACTGAGTCCTGACCAACCAATAGATACTGTGCTACGAATAACAAAAATATCCACAGGACTGCAAATCCTTTTTCTGGTCTGTAATTTAATTCTGTCCTGACTCTACCTATCGGAAGTGTGCAATGTGTATCATTTGAGATATTTCACCTCCCTCTAGGGGGCAGCACAGTTTTGTGTTAACATGTTAAAGAAAACGTTCCCACTAGAGGCAGCATATAGAAAGGGAGACAGGTATATATGTAAGGGATGGGTATTTAAGATGCATGGCACACTAGCAATAATACCAACGGCGACAACTCACCCAAAAACATTTCACTGTTTTCTGTTTTTAATAGATACATAGCTGGGCTAAACCAGTGTCAACCTCAGCTCCTGTAAGTGCTGATTTTCTGGCAAGTATGCAAATAAGGAGTTGACTACAGGAGTGCATGTGGCTTATTAAATACTTAAACCAGAGACAGCCAGGTTACTAGCACTTTCAGATGGAGGTTAGTGATGGCAGTCTATCTATCTATCTATCTATCTATCTATCTATCTATCTATCTATCTATCTATCTATCTATTTATTTTTTAACAAAAGGTTTCCTTTAAAATTTGCAAGTAGCCATCACTGCAAAAGCTATGATGATTAGTGATGAGGCTGGGCTTGGTGCAAATCCAGTTCGTCTCAGTTTGCCCAAGCCTGCTTAAAGATCTGACCCCCTCTTCATATCCCAAGCAGTTGCGGGGAGGCACATTCCCCACCCCACAGCTATACACCACAAAGGGACAGTGAACATCTGCAACTACCGTCATGCATTGGGTCAGGCGGAGGTGGTGGCGGTCAGAGTTTTGAGCAGGCTTGAGCTACCTCAGGCAAACTTGGTTCACACCAAGCCCAGACTCACCTCTGATGATGTTAAAAGACAGGCAAAATATTAGAGAACAGAAGAGTGTGAAGGTGGAATATTCGTCATTAGCAACCAATTAGGTTTTACCGCTTTCTTCACTAAAAACATAGACAAGAATTCTGCTTGTTCACGACAAGCAACAACTCTGCATTCTGTTTCTGTTTGTAATTGTAGTTTAGATGAGTCTGGAGAAAGGGCTGAAAAATACTGAGGGATAAAAAGATCAGTTGTAAAGGTCACTGGGGTACTGCGGGGAGAAAACACAGACAGAAGCTGTTCTCAACCTCATACTTTGTCCTGGATTCTCATGACTGACTGATAGCCTTCAGCTTTGGACATTGATATTTGTACCCCAACCGTATGGCTTTGTGCATATGTTATATAACATAAAGCAGCTAGCTAACATTTTAAAGGAAACTAAACTCTGGAAGCTTTGCCCCAAAAAAACAAGCAGAAAAAGGACTAGCCACCAGACTAGCCACTACTGACTTATGGGGTGCCGATCTTGCTAATGTCACCATTGTTTCTGGAAGGAGGTTTTAATCTCTTGAGGATGGTACCTTATGTACAGAGCTTATCAAAAGATGTAGCAAGCACTCACATCATATCTGTACATTTTATATGTCATCACTCCTGGGCTGAGTGTGCCTAGGAGTCGCTGCCATGTTATTTTACACTCCTTTCCTGTCTGGCATCTTCTTGCTTTACCCATTAGGTAGGCACTGATGATGTAATTCAAGTGCATGTGTACTGGAGTTACATTATCTGAGCACCCAGCTCCATTTCCATCATCCTACAGGTGCCAGGTATGGGCCTGGATTGTCCACTGTACTCCACATGTACAGGTGTAAAAAAATAAATATATATATATATTTTTT